AGAAACTACAAATTATGAATTCAGTTTCTTAAAAAAATAAATTTTAATACAATTACATAAATTTATACTAATAAGTAAACTCATCTTTAAAGTAAAAGATATTTTAAAAGAAAAAGATATAAATGCTTTAATACAAAACCCACATTAGTAAGTCATTGAACTTTAGATCATCCATCGAAATAAAAAAAACCATCATTAGTTCTCATAATATATTGTAAACATACACAATCAAACAGAGTAATTTACATAAATTGATTATTTTCCACTCCAAACTATCTAAAGAACTTTCTTGGATTACGACTTGTGATAAACTTCTTTAAAGACAATAGAAAGAAAAATATATATGAATTAAATTTTTTTAAAACTTTTTGTATTTTTGTGTATATGTGTGCATATTATGCAGGGTGTCTCGTATCAAAGTGCACTGCTATATATAATTTTATAGGCCCTCATGAGTAGACATAACTTTGGTATGGAGAGGTAGTTCACATATTTAATGTAGCCCTTATTTTGAGGTTTTCACTTTACAGAGGCCTAACAGAAACGCGGAGTTACATTTAATATTTCAAAGAGCAAAAAAAATGTTTCCGAAATTGATTTTAAGCCTCCATACAAATGTTTTGTCTACTCATGAGGGCCTATACAATGGTATATAGCAGTGCACTTTGATTTTTACTAGAAACTAATTTCCGTAGAGTAAAATTTTTACCTATCTCCCTCCCTCTAATAGTTATAGCCCCGCAAAACCCTCAGATTATTTTGTGAATTATTATCTGATTAGACCTCAGATTATAGTAGTGAAATTTTAGCAGCTCTTAAAAACTAATAAATAGCTCATTTCGTTATAAGAAAATTTTTTTCCACCTCCACCCTCTCTCAAGTTATCGCCTATTGTAAAATTCGAATTTTTTGCACGTTATATTTCCGAAACTGTAAGCTTTTCCAAATTTCTACAAAGCTAACGGTAATTTCCATGCCATTAAAAAATATTATTATTTCCCGCAACTAACTCTTAAATTCAAGAATTATGTTAACGCCTCTTTAATTTTTTTTCTTTTTATCTCAAAGAATACACACAATGCTAATTCGAAAAATAGGCAATTTTTGAAGTATATTCGTATATGAAGTATGCCATTTTTGAAATACATACATATATTGGTATATGAAGTAAAGTAATTTGAATAAAGGAGCATACAGCAAATTGATTGTTTTTAAAACCCGTATGTTCACTTGTTGAAGGCAAAAGTGCTACATTACAGATCATTTGTTTGAACCAACTTTATTGGTACAGTACAATTAAATGAAACAGTGTTAAAAGGGATTTAATGTTTTTTGCAAAAGATAATGGATCGATGAAAACTTAAAACAATCTAATCTATTCCATGAGCTGCTGTACTTAATTTCAAAAATAAAATATACTTAATTATTTAAAAGTATAATCTTCTTATTAATATTAGCCCAAGTAAGATCTCCAACGCTTGCAGAAGAAAAGAAAACGTGAAAGAATAAAGTTGGGTCAAACCAATGGTTTGTATTGTAGCACTTTTCCCTTCAGCAAGTGAAAATTCTGCTTTTTAATACAGTCTATGTATACCTATCACGCATTCTAAAAATTATTTTCATTCATATACAAAACTCTTTCTAGGATTGCATATATTTAGGATCAACGATTAATTATGTAGTCTTTGAAATAAAGCAAAAATTAATATAAAGTGGGGTTAACATAATGCTCGATTTTAAGGTTTAATTATGTGAGTTAAGAAAAATAATTATATTTTTTCATGTCATGGAATTTACCGTTAGTTTTTTGTGTTTATAGAAATTTTAAAAAGCTTGGGGTTTCGGAAATATAAGGTGTCAAAAATTCAAATTTTACAAATTTCAAGAGGTGATAACTTGAGAGGGGAAGGAGATGGAAAAAAATTTTCTTCCAACGAAATGAACTATTTGTTAATGTCTAAAAGCCCATAAAATTTCAAGCTTCTACAGGTTGGGGTCTAGAAAATAAACGACATCAAAAATTTGGAAAAAACGGACTTTAGATAACGGTAAATTTGAGCGGCCATTTTGTTTTTCTAAAGTTAACCTTTAGTATACCCCGCTAGGGGAAGCAAGCCACTACCTTTTTGCGTTTGCAAAATTTCAAAAATCCTTATGATTTCATTGCACTAAATAGTTAAAGAATGGCATTTTTAGGGTTTCGGGGGGGTATAATTTCTAAAGGGGGGGGAGATAGATAAAAATTTTGTTCTACGAAAATAAGTTTCTAGTAAGAGTCTATGTACGTGCAAAATTTCAGCTTTCTATCTTCAAGGGTGTAGAAGTTTTGTAAACAGACACACGGACAGACGGACGGACGGACGGACAGAGTGAAACTAATAAGCACTTTTTTTCAAAAATTTTTTGGAAAAGTGCTAATAACATGAAGAAAAAGAAAAAAAAATGTATTCTCAAGTCTGTACATATTATATCGTATTCGTGTCGCATAAAATGTATACTGATTTTCTGCACAACTTTTTAATTTTCGTTTTATTTTCACATTCTCATTGAGTTGAATAAGCTTGAGCTTATTCCGCAACATGAGCGATTACATTTGAATATACTTATGTAGTGTAATTTATTCTTAATATTGTTATTGATTGTTATAATGCAGTTATATATTTTCTGCAAACTAAATCAAATCATCAAAGAAATTAGTGCATGAATCATGAAATGAACACCTAAAGAATAGAGTTAAATATTTTTGTTACTTTTTAGCACTCTTCCAAAACATCTTGTAGTAGTTTCAGTCTTTCCGTCCGCCGTTCCATCCGTCCGACCGTCTGTCCGTGTGTCTGTTTACAAAACTTCTACACCCTTGAAGAAGGATGAAATTTTATATGTACATAGATCTTTATTAAAAACTTACTTCCGTGGAAGAACATTTTTACCTATCTGCCCTCCTCTGAAAGGTATACTCCCCTTAAACCCTAAAAATTACATTTTTGAACTATTTATTGTAGTGAAACCATAAGCATTTTTTAAATTTTGCAAACGCAGAAGAATAGTTGATTGCTTCTTCTAGAACGGCATGCTAAAGTTAAACTTTAAAAAAATAAGAAGAAAATTTTTTCCTTTATCCACCCGCACTTAAGTTATTGCCTCTCAAAAATTGTAAAATTTCAATATTTAGCATCTCATATTTACGAAACCGCAACGTTTTTCAAATTTCTATATACGCAGAAAGCTACCGGTAAATTTTATGTCATTAAAAATATAATTGTTTTTCTTAACTCACATAATTAACCCTTAAAATCGAGCATTATTTAAAATACCCCTCCTAAACTTTATTTTTCCTTTATTTCAAAGACTGTGTAAATCGTTCATCCAAAATATACGAGTATGCAATCCTAGAAATAGTTTCGTATATGAATGAAAATAAATTTAATAGTTTAGTAGGTATACATAAATTGTTTTTAAAAGCAGTATTTTAACCTTTGTTGGAGGGAAAAGTGCTGAAATTCAACCCAACCATTGGTTTGACCCAACTTTATCTCAAGTTCGGCTGAACCGATTTTGATGAAATTTTATAAGTAAGTTTATTTCGACCATGGCACGGATTGATCAACTTTTGGGATATATCAGCACACGGGAACTGCACTTTTTAGCGGGCCTGTTTTACATTTTTGAGCATTTTGAAAAAAATATTCAACCAATTTACTTGAAATTTTATATATATAAGCTTCACTAGACCGACCGCGAAACCTCCTAACTTTTGGAAGAAATCAGGCCTCAGCAACTTAACGTTTACTACGGGCCAAATATACATTTTTGCGTATATAAAGAGAAATAATCAACCGATTTCATTGAAATTTAATATTTGAATTCCTCGTATTACAACAATGAACATATAAATTTTTTGGAAAGATCAGGGCTCGAAAACTGATTTGCGGGCCGATTTTACATTTTTCACCATATCTACGGAACGAATTGATAGAATTTCTTGAAATTTGATTTCAGGGAATTCGGGTAACAAAAAGCGAAATTCTACTAAGAGCCAAATTTACATTGTTCTAGGTATGTTTACTATAAGCTTACTAATGTATTAAAAATTGAAAAGAAGTATTTAACAGGCACTTTTATAATATTCTGTAACATTTTCACTTAACTAGACAATACACAGTGCGGTCGGTTATGTGCTGACCACATCAGATTTTTTTTATTCATGAACTTAAATAGCCAAAATGGTTTTGCGTTAATTATATGAACTTATATTAATATTATGTTAGAACATGGAAAAAGAATATTTATGTGTTTGATGTGAATGTTTATACTTACATCTGAATAGTGTATTAATTAAAATTTAATTTGTTCGCAGAATAGGTGAACTTAAAATTTTTAAACATTCTCATTATAAAGTACTTTAATAAGAATGTATTTTTGCCGAGGTTTAGTATATTCATTCCAAACATATTATTCATGTCCTGGAATAAAACCACATGACATACAGAACTGTAAGGACTTTGTAAAATTTAAGCTCCGGTTCATTTCAAATTATTACTATAATTGATCGACTACTGCTGGTTACGACTTCTCCATTATATTGTATATACATTAAGTTGCACATTATGTATACCCATTCAAATTTTGAGACGTTGAGTATAAATGAATTAGCCCATACTCAACCGCAGCATCTAGTTTCTCATATGTCAAGATGTTAGTCTGTCGGTAATTTTTGTCATTATTTTGACCTAAAGCTGTACAAATAGAAATTGTAGGTATTATTTGTTAAAAATTAATCAGAGAAATTCATTAAGACAAGCTTTGCTATTTTGCAAGCTTTGGGTTTAACCGCCCACTACTTTCTACACTATCCTTTTGTTTATTCTTTGTTCTAATACGTTACATACATAAAATTTGGAATAAAAAGGATTTCACTTTCAAATTAAAAAATTAATTATGTATAAATATAATAATTTAAGTAACATAAATTTTAATGTTTTGATATTATTTATTTTCAGATATTTTTCAAGAAAATTAACAATGGGTGAACGACGTGGAACAAAAGCATTGGAGCTTTGGTGCCGTCGTATAACAGAAGGTTACCCAGGAGTCAAAATTGAAAATATGACAACATCGTGGAGAGATGGTTTAGCGTTTTGTGCAATGATTCACCATTTTAAACCAGAATTAATGTAAGTTAAAAATGTTCAAAAACCTCTCAATTTATATTTCACGTAAATATCCAGTTGGCTTCTGATACTGATTAACATCACACTTGCCTAAATATTTATAATTCAATTTTATTTTGTTAGTTTAATTAAAATTAATTTTAGTTTAATTTTAAGGAAATTTAAATTTATTTTTTTAAATATTCTTTTGACATTTAAAAATCTACATGAAATTTTTTAAGTATACATAAAATATTCATAAATTTTATTTGCCACATTTTCTCTACAAAGAAATACAGTGCAATTAATGATTAGAAATAAGGCAGTCCAGGAATGCCAACATAAATGAAAATGCATTTGAAAGTCAAATAAATTCCAATTTTTATAATTTTATGTGAAAACTTAATAACTTAATTTTATTTTTTTTTAATTTCAGTGAATTCGAAAAATTAAATAAAAATGATATTTACTATAATAATGATTTAGCATTCCGTACCGCAGAAACACATTTAGGTATTCCAGCACTGTTAGATGCAGATGATATGGCCACATACGAAGTACCAGATAGATTATCAATTTTAACATATTTATCACAATTTTATCAAGTATTTGCCGCTCAAGGTAAGTCTATATAGTTAAATGCCGTAAATCTAACACAAGCCCTAAAACAAATTTAATGTTAAGCCCTAAAACAAATGACGTTAAGCACAATGAGTTCTAAAGTTAAAACAAAATCAATTTCTCTTTTAATATTAAGAGATTTTAAGTATGAAGATTAAAAATTTTCTTCAATATTACCAGCAGATGCTTATATGTAAAGTGTTGCATAATTTAAAATAAAATCTCACTAAATTAATTTCATAAAAGTTTAAATTTATGCTATACGATACAAGTAACATAGCTGTTTGTAAATGCAGCTGTTTGTGTTGAAAGAAAAGAGCAATTTCATATTAAATTATTTTCTTCCTATATATGCGATGACATGTAAAAATACTTTCGTAATAATAATTTTATTCCGCTTTTTTATTTTTCAAAAGACAATGCTTTACCATTCCTGTTTTGCTGAATTTCATACATTCATGAAGCGAGTAAATTGAATGCAATTGCATATTGATGTAACAAAGAGTAGGGGAAACTAAGAAATTGCAAAAATGCATAATTGATACTTCAAAATAATATCAAAGTATGTATACATATATATATATAAAGTCAAATTTTGTCGCAAAAGTTTTAATGCACGCCAAAAGTTGTTACGTTAAATGTTTTCTAAAACGAGTTTTTGTATGGACGTTATAATATTAATAATATATTATGTTGTATATAATTAAGAAAAAATATAATGGAAGTTTTCCTTTCAATTCCATTTCTGGGTTATTGGTTGTTTTTTGTCTGGCTCAGTTCGAAATGCATACATACATAATTTTAACCGACCGTATTGTGTATACAATAGGTAGATTATGTGATGGCAACAAATTTTGCATATCGAGTTTTCGGTGGGAACACACTTCTTCATGGTAGGGAAGTGTAAATAAACTATTTCTAGCAACCTGTCGGTCTGTATGTCTGTGTGTGGACACATGTACATATCTCAAGCTCGGCTGAACTGATTTTGATGAAATTTTATATATAAATTTATTTTGACTATGTCATGGATTGATCAACTTTTGGGATATATCAGCACACGGGAACTGCACTTTTTAGCGGGCCTGTTTCATATTTTTGATCATTATGAAGAAAATATTCAACAGATTTACTTGAAATTTCTAATATAAGCTTCGCTCGATTGTCCGCGAAACCTCTCTTGGAAGAAATCAGACGTCAGCAACCGAACGTTTACTACGGGCCAAATGTACATTTTTGCGTATATAAAGAGAAACAATCAACCGATTTTATTGAAATTTAATATTAGTATTAAAACAGTGAACATATAAATTTTTTTGGAAAGATCAGGGCTCGGAAACTGATCTGAGGGCCGATTTAACATTTTTTACCATATCTACGGAACGGATTGATGGAATTTCTTGAAATTTGATATTTGAGTTCAGGTTGTTACCGAAACTAACTGGCGATTTCAGGGAATTCGGGTAGCACAAAGCGAAACTCTAATAAGAGACAAATTTACATTTTGCTAGTTGTGTTAACTAAAAGCTTACTAACGCCTTAAAAATTAGAAAGAAGTATTTAACAGGCATTTTCATAATATTCTGTAACACTTTCACTTAACTAGACAATACACATTGCGGTCGATTATGTGCTGACCACATTAGATTTTTTTTTTGATGCAATTGATAATATTATTCATATCCATATAAAAAATGTAATTGTGAATACGGTACTACTAAGTGTACATATAAATAAGTATTTAAGCTTTTTTTTGTAGAAAACTCCCTAAGATTGAATACATTTTTTCACAACTGCAGGAAATACTTTAATCTCATGCATAAAAAAATTTAAAACTTTTACTTGGATATTTTTGTCTTAGTGATTTTCTGTTTCTTCACTTATCGTTTGCGACCTAACATGTAATTATGGTTTAGGTTATTGGCTATATGTGCTTTGTATATTAATGCGTTTACAAATTGTGTTGTTTTGCCTTCTATATTTTGTAACTCTAACAAGAATATGCTCTCGACTAGTAATCAGGTGGTCACATAACCCACAATTTTCTATGCTCTACGATTCATGCAATGCTTTAAAATATACTTTTACTTGTTCGTTTTAACTTAGTCTAATGTAGATGTAAGGACTTAACACAAGCAGAACTTATTGAATTAAAAGTCGAAGTTTATAATGAAGTTGTTATTCGAATAATGAAGTTTTTAATCAAAGGAGCTGAACTTCTTTTTTAGATGTGAGTCTCGGAGTTTCAGTCAAAGCTGAAAAAAGAGCTTCAAAAACACTTTAAAAAATCTTCCTTCTTTTTCATACTATTTGCTCTTATTTCATTCTTTTAGGAAAAGAGCAAAAATTGCAAGAAACATGAATAATGTAATGAAATAATTACATGGTTAATAAATCGATATTTACCGCCGCTTTCTTGCTTTAATAGAAATATGTGAAAGCAGTTTCATAAAAAAGAGTTGCCTCGATAAGAAAAATTGTGTTGCAATGCCGTAACATTTTACCATTGTATTTTGAAAAATTAGATTTAATAATTTCAATATCACATGAGCATGGTTTCTGTTTTGAAAAAAAGTAAAAATCTAGTTAATTTGTTTATTGTTGTTAATTTTAAAACGTAAACTTGGATTACTTTTTTTATCGGAATGATTTAATAATTTTTTTCTGAGTGCCAAACCAGCACATTCAATAAATATTTTTTTTTTTTTGTTTCCTTCCTCACACCTAGGAGGAGTATAGGGCTAGTGCATGATATCTATCATGCCCTAGTTTCTATAGTCATAGAGAGTTAGCTAGGTAGGTGACTAGCCTACCGTAGTTTTTTATTTTATATTAAATATTTCAGCTTATTAATATTTACTGTTTATTTTTCTTAGTCTTTTAGTATCGAATATTATGAATATTTGAAAATTACTTGTATAATATATATTAGTATTGCATATTAAGTTATATAATATTGAATATAATTTTTATAGTGACCTGACCGGGGTTTGAACGGTTTAACCGGGCCGGTGCCATAACCACTGCACCAATGGTCAGATATTAAATAAATATACAAATGTTTTATGTTCATGTAAACTATAAATCGAATTGAAAAATATTTTAAAAACAACTTTTCATGAAAATCATTTGTTTTTATAAATATTGCGTTTCGCCGATTCAATAAAGAGAAATAATCAATGTTAAAAAAATGAACCAAACTGGGGACCGGTTTTACATTTTTTACCACATCTACGGAACGGATTGGTGGAATTTCCTGAAATTTGATGTTTGAGTTCTAGTTGTTATAGTGAAACTAACTGGTGAACTTTTCAGGGAGTTTGAGTGGTGCAAAGCAAATTTCTACTAAAAGCCAAACTTACATTTTTCTAGATATGTTAACTAAAAGCTTACCAGCGTCCTTGAAATTGTAAAGAAGTGTTTAGATCGCATTTTTATAATCTTATTTTCATTAAACTAAACAATATACATTGCAGTCAGTTGTGGGTTGACCACATCAGATTTTTTTTAATTAAGATCTACTTTAACCTTAATCATCTCATATTTCACCTGTTGTTTTAAAGTTATTTTAAAATATAAGTTATGTTGTGAGCAAGTGATATATTTTCAAAAACAACATTGTTAGTGTAAAAAAGCAATATTTTACATTTTAAAATGATTACTAAAATCGCTTTCTCTTTGCATGTTGAATTATAAACCGTATATAAGTATATGTATGTACATATGTATGAATGTATACTTTTTATATAATTCTGGAATATTATATACAGGTTTTGTAGGTAATCACCCGAATTTGTTTTATTAAAGTTCATGTCGGGTATTTGTTGTTTCCATTTGACGCTTGATTGACTTTTGTCAGTCTGATAATTTTTAATGATATTTTTCTTTTTATAAAATTTTAGTACAATTTTATTGATAGTTTCTCTTTCATAAAAACCTAAAGAGTGGCTGAAAAACCATTTTTATGATTAAAATGTAATTTTCTCCTTCTATTTTAAAATAAATAAACATTTTCGAAAATTTGAGAAAAAAGAACATGTTTTTCAGTATTTTCTCTACTGTAACAATAACACTTTTGCTTTAATCTTGTATTTTGTAAAACTTGTTTTGTGGTTGTTTCCTTATTATTGAGGTAATTGAAAGATCGGCTTAATATAATAACATGAGAATTAACAATCTAAAACTAATTTATCTAAAGATTATGAGTACATTGCAACACTATTTATTTTTATTAAGTTAAGCTTTAAATATTAGAGTAGGGATTAGCTTACTGTAGCGCAAGCGCAAAGCAGTTCTAAAAAGAACAGATTATTAAAATCTCTAACCAAGGGTTAATTGAAACAAAAAGCTTGCTAATGACACAACTGTAATGGTTTATGAATGTTTAATTAATAAACGAAAAAAGTGGGTTGAAAAGTACTTGCTAGAATTTATCATGATAGTTCATATTGTTATCAAAATGCAAAGACAAAAGTCAGCTTTTTCAAGTTAAAAAAAAAATATAAACGTCTCATTTTGCTATTATGAGAGTCATATTGTGTAATAAATATACTTTTAATGAAAATATGCTTTTTTGAAAGTGTTTTTTTTTAAGTTTACTGATTTTATGCGAACATGCATTCATATACTCATATAATATGCATATATATAAGTATATATTTATACTATATTCTAAAACTTGAACAAGCATAAACACTGACACGCTTTGTTGATTGAACAGCACACTATTTAATAATTGAATTAATTGAAAAAAAGATAGTTTCCCTTTTTATTTTGGCATAAAGTACAGTTTTTTCGTAGTGTTTGACTGAGATATCAGTATTCGACCGCAATTTTGAAATCCGATAGTTTAATTTTTAAATCGTTTTGAAATTAAATTAATTGTTTTGCATGTAAAATAATGTGTATTTTTAGTTAATTTTTTAAACTAAAGGGTGTAACCTTTTAAAGTCCCAAACATTCTATTTTTATATTTATTGTATCAAAACCACAAGCATCTC